AAAAAGGGTGTGTCGTGAAGCTTTTTCCACAGTAATTATCTCAAAGTAAATTGCCTACAAAGACATTCTGGATGTCCATCAAAAAGTTTGGAAATCGCACAGAAACACGCATGGAAAGCCAAGTTTTATAGTACGAACCTTTTCACGGATGTTCCATGCTCAAAAAGAGTTAAGTGCACCTCGCATAAATGACTAACCAAACAGTTGTCCGTATGTATCTCAAAGAAGTTAAACATTTGGGCATATATTTGGATAAAGGGGCCTATTGATGTTCATACAAAGTTTTTATTAATTTAAAAAAATCTAAAACGGAAAGAAAAAAAAGTGTGGATAATAGAACGGTTAATTTGGGCTAAGGGTCGAAAACGCCTTCAAATCCTAACCTCCCTAGAATCAAAAACACCAAACTTACAGTTATTTACTTTGGGAAACACTGATTTTTACATCTAGGCAACAATAGTAAGGAAGAACGGTTTCATCAAATTGTTGTCTCGGAAAATAAGTGAGGTAACACGAGCTTCGAAAAATAAAGAAAATGTTATGTTCATAAATTCATTTTTGCGGGGTAGATCATTCTACATGACTGAAAAAATACTTTAAGGAAAGCTCGGCATGTTATATTGTATGGATCATATACTTCCCAACTGAAACATAAGATTAGAGCCCGGATATTTTGGTTAGTTTTTGAAATGTAGAATTTATTGTTTATGGAATAGAATTTGGGCCGGGACATAGATGGCACTTTTCAGAGGCTCCAAAAAGACTCAGTTTTTGGGAGCCCATTATCCAAACCCACTGCATCTGAAAACTGTGATCGTAATTTCCGAAATTCTCATTCTTACTGTATTTTCTAAAATATAGTATTTCAAGGTGATGAATATTCCCCGTCCAAGATGTCAACAAGAGCACTTCCAACAACAAGCTGCCCTGAGTAAACTCAAATGATTACATTACTCTTTGGAGACGGCACGCGGTTTCTGCGGACAAGATCACAACTGTAACGTTTTCATTTGGCCAGAAATGGCGGCAAAAATCCAGGCGTAAACTCTTCACAACAGGGTTTCTCGGACCCAGCCCTACCTTTTCTAGCAACTACCAATTCCAAGAACACATTACCAATACGCCTACAAGGCGACATGTCCGCCAGCATAACTTCCGTGCCAAAATGCACGACGAGAAGACACTTCTGACATGCATATTATTTACATTTAACTACTGAGATACGATCATGTGGAATGTTTAGAGCCACTAATGAGCCGAACACCTCGCATTTGCATAACACAACGGTGGAAAATCAGCACGGTACGTGTCTGAGCGTTTAAAGGCGATGGTAGCAAGATAGTGTCCAAATCTATGGTATGGTTGTCACCACGTTAAGGTGACCGGTAATCTTGCTGTATTTAGTTGAGTACTTCCAGTGTTTCAAACTTTGAAAAAGTAAGTTGGGTGTTTTATTACCTTGAGTGTCATTTGCAGAACCAACAGCAGTCAGTGAAGCTGTGGTTAGTTTAAATTAGACTTTTCCTTTTGTGTCTGGCGAGAAAAACTTGATTAAAAACCTACAAACTGAGTTCCCACCATTGTGCGATCCAGAAAGCCGGGAAAGGAGAACAGAAAGTAGGAAGAAATATTAAAGCTAATCAAAGGAACATGTGAAAGACTGTGTGCAAATCTGGTAAACAGTGTTCACCGTCAACAATGGCGTGCATGGCTATCCGGTTGTTAGAAGTTGTATTAGCAGGAGGGAAAGTAATCTCTAAAACAGCGGTTTCATACAACTGTAAAACCTGCATGCAACCACAGTCAGTGTCCTCATTTAATTATCTTGTTACTAATAAGGGTCAATGATTCTCCCTTCAAGCTTAATTGTTTCCATATTTCTGGGTCATTTTAAGGCCTAACTTCGAAATACTACGGATTTGGACGACCGCTAATAAAAAGAGCAGGGAGCCTAAACGAGCAAACGTACTGATAAATACAATGAGTATGTCCACTATACAAAAATATTAATGAGAAACAGAAAGTATGCGATAACAGCATTAAACTGAAAAATTCTGGGGATAATGAAATCTTCCGTTTCCAGTATTTCAAAGTTATTAAGTTGGATGCTAAAAGGTAAAAGCCACTTTTGTAAGAGTTTGACCGTTTTTGCCAAAACCAAAACCTCAGAACGTAAAAGTGCACAGTTACTTTGAAGAATTAGCGGGATTAGTTAGGGTAAAAGCGCCGAGGGATGAGAAACAGTTATCTAAATACATGCTAGAAGAAATTTCGGCATCATAATAAGGAAAATCGGATTTAGGGAAAGCGAAAAGGATGACTTTAGGCCGTAGTTTGCACAACTGAATAATGAAAAATAACGAAAGATGCAGAGAC